AAGAGACACATTGATTGATGCTCTATCACCCACATTGAACCCGTCTCGGCGTGTCGTTCGTCCGCGGCTCCGCAAACCCCGACACATTCTTTCCTTCACAAAGAACTGTCAGGATGCTACGCGGTGGAAAAACATGAGTTGCTGCAAATATTTAAGCCGCTCACTTCTATTCATCTGAATGGGATTACCTTCTACTGCTATAGGTTTTGATAGAAGAGCAGTCCCACCAATTAGCTAAAAAGCAAGCACAAAAAGATGAAATACCTAATTAATTTTGGATGCAAACTCAAATTTAATGGAGGAACTGGAGTATTACATTCGAGCATCTGTTGAAAAGGCAGAAAAAATAACTACTTGGAATATAATGGAGTAATTTAATTTGAATACTAATTAGTATACAGTTTTACTACTAATGTGATCCTCTGAATGTACTTGTTAATTCTAATCAGAGTTAATATTTATTTCAACTTAGCTCTTTTTGTGAGGAAATAATTGCACAAAATGGCACTTCAATAAAAGTAAAATTGAATAGCAAAAAAGCCAAAGTGCGAGAGGAAAGTAGGTGTAAGAGAAAGACTGCTAGATTCCTGCATGTAGTCATCCAACTTATCAGATGTGCAAATGCTACGGGTTCCTCCAGTTCCCATTTCTGCTTCGCTTCATCCACCCAAGGGAGACCTTTGTGTCCTTCCTGTTGCTAGAAATTTTCAAGTCATTTTAATATATATAAAAAAGCAACTATGCTACATTCTCATATAAATAAGCTTCTGCAACAAGGGAGTGTGCTCATCTTTAATATAACCAGAAATAAATGAAAATGTTATTTGTCTGAAAAATACCAATGTTATTAAGAAAGGTCTCATTTTTGAGCTTTCAACAACAAACTGCTTTCCTCTAGTATTTGACAACACAACACAGTGAGATTAATAAGACACCATTGCTTCAGCCCAGTTGGTAAGCAGGAACTTTAGCTCGTGATTTCACTTCTAGCAATATTTGATATTCTCTGTTTTAATATTACAAGAGTCCTTTGCCACATGCCAGTGGAACAGTAAAGAATCAGATGGGACATCAGGAATCTTTTGAACCTAATACACCTTCCAAATTCAAACCTAACTCTCAATCCCTAGATCATGGGACTGCTTACTTAATTTTTTTAAAAAAATACAAGTCAAAATTGCTTTAAAAAATCCCTGTTAAGATGGTGCTGAAAATTACACCTTTGTGCAAAGAAATCTAGAAAAGATGTGAAATTTAATGAGGCCAACATATAAAAAAAAAAAAAAGTTACAAACCCAAATCAAAATAAACCACTACAGTTTCTAAAGACAGAATGGGTGATCGATGCTCTACAGTTTACCACGGAGGTTACCAGGTGCTGTATGCTGAACGATATGTTAGAAATGATTCAGCGGGTGAATGTGCAATGCATTTGTTACGTCTGTTCATAGGGGGCCAAACCCACTTCCATTACTAACACAAAAAGCTGTGAATTTTCAGCTTCTAATAACACCATTAAACTTGTAAGCTGCACCTCTGAAACTGCACCTGGGGTTCTCATATCCTCCCACTCTGATATTAAAAATATTCTGCGCATCAGCTGTTATTATGCATGTAAAAATGACACAAAGAGAAGCTTTCTCCACAGGCTTATGCTGACACCAACGCCCTTAGTCATTTTAACCCTTGTGCAATATGAAGATTTTTGTCCAGACAACCGTAGTCACTGAGAAAACCAGAACTTCAATGGCTGAGACCATTTAAGCTGTGTGCACTCCAGCAAGTTTTCTAGAAATGAATTTGTGAAAGATTAACAGTGTGAAAATAACCACCTTTTCACACTGTTATTCCCAATAATATCTTCAGTGGAATTACAAAAAGCTGTCTTTGAACCAATATTAAACTTTTGACAGTCTGCAGCTGTGTTCAGAACTAACTTTTGTTAGCCTGTTTCCACAGTCAGTCCCTGTTCCTCAAGGCTATAACTTGTCAGTAAAACTCTGGTCTTAAATTAAGCATCGAGGGGGATTCTTAATTTGGGATCACTCTTTAACTTTCTGCTCCAGCTTGCTGGTCTTGGCACAGAACTAGTATGAGTTCATCGGCCAATGCCAGTTTAGTGAAATTGAAGTTATTATAAATATAGAAAATATTCTAAATAGCTTTCAATATAATGGTAAAAATACCAGAAATTGAAGCAAAAGCAAACAAGCAGTCTGCCAAAGTAAGCCAAACCAACTTAATCTGCCTCCCCAGCAGAGTGACAAAGCCTGTGGCTAATGGGACCACGGCACACGTGACATAGCTTGTCGTCGCCGACACTGCCCTTCTATACGATCCACCCGACACTACCATAAACAAAATCACGCATCCCACTTCATCTGATCACCTTCGTGGACGCAAACCAAAGCATCTAAATTAGGAGAGAGGCTGCGCTGTGTTCCTTCTTTTCAGGGAAGAGAAGGGCAACTTCAAAGAATAACTTGAATGGCCTTCTGTCTTTCCCTTAATTATCGACTATGAAATTAGCCTTAGGCAACTACTCTCTAGGTTAAGCCTCTGAAGTTAGGAAAGATGAACCTGGGCCACAGTGTAGGCAAAGCTACTGCAGTATGGGTGCAAAAATGATGGAAACCATTCCCAGAGGAGCTAGCAAGGGTTGACAGGATATACTAAATACCATTCTTCAGGTCTCTTCCAGATCTTGAACTCACTCATTCATAGAATTTTCACTGTTGACCTGAATGTTTTTGAGAGCAAGCTTATTAAATTTGCAGATGACAGAGAGCCAATCAAGACTGCAAGTTTATGGAAGGACACGACTGGTATTCAATCTTGACCAAATGAAAAAAAAAAAAATGGGTTGAAGAAATCACAGTGTGCTCAGATAAAGGCGAGTGCAGATCATCCCACTCAGGAAGGATGAACACACTGAGGGGATAGATAAAAGTTCTGCAGAAAATGATCTGGGGGTGCAGGGGATGGGCAAACCAAACAGGAGTGGAGAATATTGCATTGCCACAAAAATTTCAACAAGCCTGATGCAGACCCAGGGCAAGGCAGAGGGAAGGGACACACCAAATGGGGACAGGAGTATGCTCCAGCTGGGCTGCCAGATGTCTGCAAGTCCTATGGAAATATCCAGTATTCACTCAAATACTACTACTATGGGTAGGAAAAAAGGATGTATCTGGGTATGTGCCAGAGAAATGACACATGCCAAAACCAATATGTAAAAAGCAGTTACTAAGGATGTAACAAATAAAAAGACATTTTCCCTGTCTATAGAAATAACCCCGCTTTTTATACCATGCAACTTCCTCAGGTAAGAGGAAAAGCTAAACTCTTGTGTTTGTCTTGATCATGAACCTGTACAAGTAAATGTTTTCTGTGTTCTTACGGTGCTTTCGAAGTACAAGCATCTTATGCCTTTGAGGATCCTTATTTTCTCTTTTGTACAAGAACATGGGAAAAGTATCCTCTGCTGTTCAGGCTGTTCAGCTCTGCCAGTGTTAGCTGGCTGTGCCCCAGAGCCGCACTCTGTGCCGTGTGGTTAGCCCAGCAGAGTGCCTTGCTGGAGTACCTGTGTGATTTCATCCTCTTTTCATAGTATCCAGGAAACTAAACTAACTCTGATTTTTGTGATCTTCCTTCTCCCTCTGGTTTTATGAGTGCCCCTCTTCGTGGTAAATCCAGCTATCAGTAACGCTTCTTCCTTGCTATACAGCACCCTGAAAATGATAATATTGTGTAAAACACATTAAGTGTGAAAAGAATCATCAGAACTGTATTAATGCTCCCTAAATTTGAATAAATTCTGATGTGTAGTCTATATTAAAGGCTGTACCTGCCCGGATAAAGAAGCCACAGTACACAGGGCTTACAGAGGTGAACTATGGCACCTCATGATTTCATATGATGCCTTTAAGAGCAACAGCACCATGGTGCTCAAAGAACTCCGTGGTTCACAAGGAAATCAACTTAATTCAAACAAAGTGCTTCAAATGAACACTTTGGTGTTGCTATACCTCTATAACAAAAATAAATAAAAGCCTATTTCCTGTGCTACAAGCTCTTAACTTGCAGCAAGACAAGGCAGCAGACTGAATAGGCAGGACAGAAGACACAGAACGTGTATTCTTTCTGTAAGAAATGTATTTGGATGGAAAATATGTGACTTGTGCCATAATTCAAAGGCTTTGTATATCATCCTGAGGTGGGATTCTTCCTCATTAACTAGTACAAGAAACTGTCAGCTGGCTAATGTTAGTAACTTCTGTATTTATTAAAAATTGTAATTTGTGTCCTGGAAGCATAACACTTACAGAATCAGTCACTGTATTTCAGATCCCTTAAAGGTGTTTATGTAACATTAATTAGAGATCAAAAATAATTTGATCATTAGCAAGGGAAAATGGTGGTTATGTTATTTAAGGATATACTGGCTCAGACTGAGCGCTAACACAACCTTAAACAACCAGTTTCAACTAGTTGGATGGAAAGTACATAGAGCTGATAGGAACCACGAAACACATTATCAATAATCTTTATTTATAGCTTGACCTTGTAGGATTGAAATTTACACTACGTATATGCAGTGAAAGTAAAATTCTGGGCTTTTTTTTTTTTTTTTTTGTACAAAACACGGTACGTTGTTCATAAATTCAATTTTAGATTGAGTAAAAGTCCATCCTACACGAGTACAGAAAACTAATTCGTTAGCAGTAGGAAAGAACCGAAAGTAAGTTTTGAAAAGTGAATGGGGGAGGGAAATCCTGACTCCTGTGAAGCTGGTGGAGTACTGGCAGTAACTTAAATGCACCGTTAATTTAATGTAAGCAGGCCAAATACGAGTAAATTGTCAAAGAATGTGGAAGAAAACCTGATATACCTTAGTAACTGGGGGAAAAAAAAAAAAAGGCTGAGTATGTTATTTTACTTTGAATGATAATGTACTTATATTTTGAATTATTGCATAGGTACATTATAAAATCATACTGTGAATGCTTGTGACATTTTTATTTCAAGAAATGAGAGAAAAACAGCTGAAGAAGGCTTTTAAGATGAGACAGTTGATTCAGTGTCCTCTTCTCATGTGTCCATGTGCCCTTGTGGTTATCCATGAGACGATGTGGGATTGCAGTTCTTCAAAAGAATGAGATGCATGTTAACTTTGTAGCTCAGAGTAAAACGGCCATCAGTTCACATCCATAAAAGTTCTTGCTTCTACCACTTCAAACAGATTAAAACCCTCCATACAAACCACCTATTCTTTCCAAATGGGTTCCTCCAAAGCAGTGTCATTGCCTATAAATAACCGTTATCATGTGAAATCTAAACCCTTCTGCCAGTAAGCAAGCACTTAGAAGAACAATGTATTATGCAAAATTAAGTCATATGAATCATTTTGCAAAATCTGATTTTAAGTGGGAACAGGCACTTCATATATTATTCAAAGAACAGAAACGTTCCCTTACCTATCACGCTATATTTAGGACTTTTTTGATGATGGAGAAATAAAAGAGATGAAAGGATGGAAAAAAGCAGCTGCAGGGAGAGACAAAGGGAGGCTTGGTCCTGAAAAACGAAGCAAAGTTTAGCTCCAAGTGTCCCAGCTAATGGGTCGTACATAGCTATGGACCAGATCACCTCATGAATTATTCTATTTCTTCCTTAAAGTCCAATTCCCCCAACTGTGTGGTTTGCCAGGAACCTGATTTTTTACCTCAACAAAAATTATATGGTTTTACCTCTTCATCTTGCCGAAATCCCAACCCTCCACGCTCTAAAAAAAAAAAAAATGAACAGCAGGGATTCAAATGCAAATACGAACTCCTCCGTACGGCGCTTTTGAAAGGCAATATGCGTCTTAAACCATCCCGTCCCTCCGCGTTCGATTTTCGAGCAGCCGCCGAAGCCGGCCGTTCAAGGCCAGGCCGTACCGACCGGTGCCGGGCCTCCCGCGCCCGCCGCCCCCTCAGCCAGGCTCCCCGGCCCCTCAGGGCGCAGGCGGGGGGGGGGGGGGGGGGGGGGCGGGCCGAGGGCTGACGGAAAACGCCGGTACCGACCCAACCTCAACCCCCCCCGCGGGCCTCGCCGCGGGCGGCACGTGCTCGGCCCGCCGGGCGGCCCGGAGTGGCGGGGGGTGGTGGTGGTGGTGGTGGATGGGGGGGGGGGGGGAAGGACAGACGGACGGAAGGCGGGAGGGAAGGAGGTACCACCTCCCGCCCTTGCGCGGGCAGCGCTGCCGGCCGCGGGGCGTGGCGTGGCGTGGCACCGCCCTCCCAACCGTCTGTGTGTGTATGTGTGTGTGTGTGTGACACACACCACACCACACCCCCCCGCCGGCCTGAGCCCTTGGCCTCGCCGCCGCCGCCGAAGGCGCGAAAAGGAGGGGCGCATGCGCCGGGGCGCGGCGCGCGGGGCCCGCTGGCGCCGCCGAGCCGCCCTGCCGCGCGCACGGGCGGGAGGGAGAGGAGTGGGTCGTTACGTGATGACGCTCTGCGTGTCGCCCGTCGCGCGACCCACGCAGAGTCCGTCGGGCTCGTGCCTCCTCCTGGGCCAGCGCGCTCGGGGCTGTTCCGAGTGGGGGCGGGCGGGGCGAAGGCTTCCTCCCTCCTCCTCCTCCTCCTCCTCCTCCTCTCCCTCCTCCTCTCCTCTCCTTTCCCTCCTCCTCCTCCCCGGGTCCCCTCTCCGAGGGCCCGGCCCCTTCCCCCCGGCGGAGCGGGGCCGTGCGGCGGCGCCTCCTCCTCCCCCTCCTTCTCCTCCTCCTCCTCCTCCTCCTCCTCCTCCCGGCCGTGCCGGACAATAGGGGCGAGCGCGGCGTGTGTCTCACCCAAAGCGTCCCCCCACCCCCCCTCCCCGGCCGGCCTCGCCTCCATGCGCGGCGCCGGGCAGCGGGGCTGACAGCGGCTCCCGCCGGCGGCAGCAGCGAGGCCGAGGGAGCGGCGGCGGCCGCGGGCTGCGGGCCGGGACTCGCCGCCTCGGGCGCTGACAGAGCCGTCCCGCTTCGCCGCCGCCTTCCTTCCCCCCCCCCCCTCCCCCTCCCTCCCCCCCCCGCCCCGCCTCGCTCCCGGCGGCGGTTCCCGCCAGGCTTTGGCGGCGGCGGAGGACAAAGGCCCGGGGCCCGGCGCGGCCCGGCCCGGCCCCCCGGGGGGTGCGGGGGCGGTGAGGAGGCGCCGGGCCCCCGCGGGGTTTCGCCTCGGGTTTCCCCCCCGCCGCCCCGCTGCGGCGAGCCCTGCGCGGGCAGGTGCGGCGGCGGGCGAGGCCGCTGCCCTGCGGCGGGTCGGCGCACGGAGGCTTCTTCAATGGAAGTATGTTACCAGCTGCCGGTGCTGCCGCTGGACAGGCCGGTGCCGCAGCACGTCCTCAGCCGCAGAGGGGCCATCAGCTTCAGCTCCAGCTCCGCGCTCTTCGGCTGCCCCAACCCCCGGCAACTCTCGCAGGTAGGCACCGCCACCGGGCCCGCCGCCTCCCGCCTCTCCGCGCCGGCGGCGGGGAAGGTCCCGCCGGTTCCCGGCCCGGCCGGGGCCTGCCTTTGGGCTCGGCGGGGAGCTGGGGGTACCGGCGCGGTGCGGCGGGGCCGGGCCGGCGGCGGAGCGGCCCCCGGGGGGCGGCGGCCTCCCCGGCCGAGTGCCGGTGGCGAGAAAATACAACGATTTATAGGGTTTTGGCTAGTTGTGTCGAGGTTGCCTTTTCAGCGCTGCTTGTAACGGGAGGGGTGAGCTCCTTGGGGGTTGATTTCCAGAGCCAGTGAATGATTTGCGTCTCCTGCAGTTTTTAAACCCGGGCTGTTTTCTGGCTCTTTAGCCTGGGCTTTCTTTGAAGGGTCTGAGTTTCCTGTGGGGTTGCCAAAAGCTGCAGTGACTTTACTGAAATCGTGAACATGCACTGCAGCGTTTTATTTGGGATGCTAAGCTGTTTGTCCCTCCAACTACTAAGTCTTGGCAATCTCTCTAGGAAGAGACAAAGATCCTTGGCTTTTTCGTTTCCACGGTATTGTTCCTTGCCCACATTACATCAGTCACAAGATGAACTATACTGTATTTTGTTTCGTCTGTTCGTGTTGGAAATACTACAAAAAGGGTCATTATAACTGTCGGGACAAAAGGGAGGTTTTTCTTGTGAAGACTGTCCTAAATTTCTGAATATGCGTTCGTATGGTTTCCCAGCAAACAGTGATAAGATTCTGGCAGAATTCTCTAGAGAGAATTTGGGATTATATTGGAAAGGATGTGTTTTGGTGGGAAGTCAGCCGGTTTTGGCTTCTAGGGATTTCCTATAATGGCTAGATTGAAAGGTCTGCTTCAGTGCTCTGAAGTATGTTGTCCTTAGAGAAGATGTTGTCTTTGCTCTTTACCTGTGTAGTGGTCACTTTTTGTTGTTTATATTTTTGGGGTATCTTATTAAGTTATTCTGCTTTTTCATGACTTGCTCTGCTTCATATATGCAAATATAGAAAATACAGAGCTTTGTCCTGGGTTGGGTAGCAGTGAAGGTCTGTATGCATGTGTGAGTATTAGGCATGTGGATGTTTGGGAAGCAAGAAACAACAAAATACCTTGTTAATGACCATGAATTGGAATGCATGTGGAAATAATTATTAGTAAGCAAATTGAGATGAACATATGTTGACAACCTTCCCTTCCCTGAGTATATATGTAATAACTGACAAAACCCCTTGTTTTGATGACAAATTAGTTTTCTGTGTAACAGCTGGGTTAGCATCTTTTCCATTTGTACCACTTGATCTGAGTCGTACTTGGTGGTAGCGAATTTTCCATACATAGAAGTATTCTCAAAAGTCCAGCCTGATTTAGCACATTTTGTCCTTTGCAAGTAAGAGTCTTTCTTGTTTGAAGCCTTCATGGTTTTGTGGGAAAAAGAACAGGCAAATGGTCAAGGCGATTTATTTTATTTATTCCTTGTCTGTGCGGTCTCCAAAGCAGGTGACACATGAAGGGTATGCAGGTTTATCAAATTAAATGCAGTATTGACACTTAAGTATTTTTTTTTCCCCAACTTCCAAGCTTCTCAATGGATGCCTTGTTTTCTGACCAATATGCTGCAGCTATATTAGAGTGACTCACAGGGAGAGGTGCTTGAATAACTTGTAAAAAAAGTGAAAACTATTATGTATGTTTGACCAAGTAGTATTTTCTTTGATTAAACCAGAAAAATAAGTTTAAATATTAAAAAGGGAATTAGCAAAGACTTCCTCATTTAAATATCCTAATATTGGCCAGCAGATTAGAGTACATCTATGTTTTACTATCTTTATCTTTTTTTTTTTTTTTTTTTTTTCACTTTTCCTGAAGTCTCCTGCAGACAGATGTGAATGTCTGCCAGACCTGCAATCACAGGCTGGTGTAAATGATAGACTAAGAAGCATCACCAGTAAGATTAATGATTCTGTGTAACTTCTGAACTTAATTTCACCTTGAAAGTCTTTCTGTAAGACTCCTAATATTCCAGTTCCATTGCTGTTCAAAGAGGTCTGAACCCTTACCAGTCGATCATTTTCAGTCTTCTGCTCAGGCCAACTTTGAGCAATAGGAGTAAAACTGAAGACGTGTATTAGCAAACTCAAGAAGCTGGTACGTATAGCCAGCATTTTATGGTTAATACACGGTTGGCAGATTTTCTTAAAAAACGTAAGGTCTTGAAAATTGAATTCCTGCTTCTAGATTAAAAGTGAAATAATCGAGGTATAAGACATTTTAGGCTTATCCTTTCAACACGAGAGTGGTGAGGCGCTGGCCCAGGGTGCCCAGAGCAGCTGTGGCTGCCCCCTCCCTGGAAGGGTTCCAGGCCAGGTTGGACGGGGCTGGGAGCCCCCTGGGCTGGGGGAAGGGGGCCCTGCCCGGGGCAGGGGGGTGGGACTGGATGGGCTTTGAGGTCCCTTCCAACCCAAACAGTTCTGTGATGATTCCATGATGATGGAAGTATTTTACATGGGAAACACAGGTGAGACAAATGTATGCTACATTAGATATAGCATTTAATTGTGACAATGCTAAGCAGGCAAATATTTATCTCTTTTAATATATTAAGTGAAATTTCAGCTTAATGTTTTGTTAAAGTTTCACTAAATGGGCTCAAAATGAACAGTGTGTTGCTTTTTTAAAGCTTAAACAAAGCCGTGCTGGAAATAACCTCGAGAATTCTGGTCTACTCTCAGCCCCAGGAAGGATAAATTGTACTTACAGTATTATTAACAGATGTTTGTCTAATCTGTTTGCTTAATCTGTTTTCTAAGATACAGTCTTACGAGATGCGGTGAGCTGACATAACTCATTATTTTTGAAGGTTAAAGTCCTGATATTGGACATGTATTATTACTACTTCCTTTATGCCATCTCTGATGCTTGTCAGGTGTTTGCTGATTCAGTTCACTAAAACAGCAGAAAAATAGCACAGGCAGGAAACTGGGTAGCTGCCTGCCATCTCTCTGAATAAAATGAATTTAGTGAAGTTTGTCAGAATGGATTTAAGGGAAAAAATGGTACCACTAGGCTTTTGAAACCCATAAAAGCCTCAAATAGTAGAAATTTTGCAATTTCACTAGACAACTTAACTGTTCTTAATAATGCTTAACTGTTCTTGTCATAAGAAAGTTCTTTCCTAATACTGAATTCAGATCTTGTGGTGATTTACACCTACTACTAGCCCCAGTAACTGTAGAGGAAAAACTTACTCCTTTTCTCTTTGCAGTTTTCTTTTACCTATGAATTATTTCCCTGTAGTTTTCGTTAATTTCAAACTATTAACAACAAAAATAGTAACAGTGACATCTGTTACCTGGAGGTTATTTGCAATATTTATTGTTCATCTCCAGTCAAGTGAAAAGGTGGTATCGTATGGGTTTATAATATTGAGTTAATAATTGTCTTTGAACATTAAATAATTTTAAATGCTAGTGCTAAAAGCTGTTTTTAGGGGCACTTGAATGGGTGACTTGAAATTACTAGGACATGTCACACTAGTGAGATTGAATTTAGGTTTACTGTGAGATCGAGTGGCTGTTAAGTAGTACATTGGACCATACATTTAGGGTGTTCATTCCAAATGTTACAAAATGATGGTTTTTAAATTAAAGCTGAGCTTTCAGAGGACAATTTTGGATTCTTTGTCTCATTCGTTTTTTTTTTTTTTTTTTTTTAAATTGTGTTCTTAATAGTAGCAAAAAAGCTTCTAAAACTGTATTTTAGTGTGAAAATTTAGTCTTTTTTTTTTAATGAATAAAGGTTTATAATGAAAACCACTTCACAGACATAGCTGTGAGTACTTTTAGATTGTGTCCTGCGTTGCACTCCCTCCAAAAGTTGAACTGATGTAAACATATCACAAATAAGTAAAAAAACTTTGGCCTGACCTGCTATTTTTGACTCATTTCTGTCTCTCTACCTTGTAACTGGTTCTGCACTCTGTTTAGTGCCTCCAAAAATGCACCAGTGGTATCTAGTAGCAGTGAATAGAGGTAAAGATAGAGTTTTGGACTTTCTGTCCTTAAATGTTTGAAACTGATGATGGTAAAGAAAGATGTCTCCTAAGGATCAAATTGCATGAAGAGGGAATGGAGAAAATAATAGAAGACTCCATTTGAATCTCAGAAATGTAGGCAGTAAGTCTCTACCTTGAAGTACTGAGTATTACTGCGTACCAGGTAGTACCACGTACTGCTACCTGGTGTTTGATAATCTAGTTCATGATTCCTCTTTATTGCATCTCCATTTCATGCATTTAAGCAATGTAGCATCATACTTTTTGACTCTGTGTGATGCACACCTGAACAGATCGTGCACATGGAATCCTCGATTTGACTTGGAGGATGTAGTGGGGGAAAAAGGTCACTAAGAGCAGCTAGAAGTAAACTGCACGGGCGGATTCTTCAGTGAAAGGCTCATGCTTCC